ATCTTCCACATGGCCATCTTTGAATGAGTCAACATAAGCATTTCATCATAGTACTACAGATGATTATGTGAGAATACAAGATAGATGTTATGTGATGATTAGGTAAGCCAATCATTAAAAGATTTTCAGGAAAATATTACATAATCTCAGATCAAAACTATTCGAAAGCTGTTTCGCATTGAATGCCACATAGAGACTGTTAATGAATCAAACACAGATGTGTTTGGAGGCACAGAGAATAATGGGCAAATTCTGTAATACGGACATCTCAAATTCAGAATTAGATATGTGCATGTAAACATCAATGGCAACAGAAGAATTAAGTTAAATCCTAATTATTTCTAAACAATTTAGTAACAGGTGGATCATGGATTTACCTTGAGGTAGTGCTCTGATGCACAGTAACAGCAAAGGCAGCAAGTAGAAATTTCTCCTGAGTATCATAACTCCTTTAAAATACACATACAATTATTTAAAAACATAAAAGCTTATAAACCCATTTATTCTCAAATATTCCTTAGATAGTTAGTCCAATGAAACGTACCGCATGCCTTTACAAAAATGTTTTATATAGAGTGAAAAAAAAATGCTCAGTTGGGCAATAAGACCGAATCAAAAATTGCAAAATAAATAAATAAATAATAATCATAATAAATAAATTAAATTAAATTACAGTTTATTATCAGGCAAATGTGTGAAAAAGGGGATAATAATACAAATATATTAATCAATAACAATACTTCAACAAATGGGGGTTTTGGGTTTTCCTATGTTTCTATATTCCTTGGTATTACATGACAGACCAATCTTAGTAAGAGATTAATAATAGACCCTTTAACTATTCTATGTATCTCAATTATAACATTTTAAGGAGATTTGACATCATCTTTAAAAGGAGCAAAGTGTATAGGCTAATTAAACAGCTGTGGACATATTTGCTTAAATATGTAAATGTAAAAGCCATGTAAAAGTTCAGATAAAATCAAAAGAGTCAAAACTTTCATTTATAATTCACATCTCTGAGTAAAAATACATAAACAGCACTTAAGTCAAAGCCAAAAGTAAATGGAGATTTTAAATAAGTTAATATCAATTAACTGATACACTATGCTTCAAACTGACATTTATGTGCAATTTTGCATTCAAAAAATGTTCAAGCTAAAATTAATTAATCATATTAGACCGACATTCCAAACACTTTTAGTGAGTGCATAACAGTTCTTTAAAAGCGTTCAACTGCAGCAGTCTAACAACATGAAGACATCTGTGACAACTGTGAAAGTCTTTCAAGCATAGTTTCAAACGCAAAGAAAGTAATTATTTTCAATGAAAAAAAATGTGTCAAGTCTAGGGTGCCAAAAAGTATAAAAATGCTCCCATATAAACAAGACTCACCTGCTGTAATGTGCAATCCAACTGTAACAACACAAAGTCTAGGCTATATGTCCTCTACGACAAAAATGTTGAGAAAAAAGGTCTTCAAGACAAATCCACAGTGCCTATAACATCCACCCGGCTCCGGGTTTTAGTTCAGTGGCCTGAGAACTACTGGACTGATGCACTTTATACTGTTCAGTCCGAACCATGTCAGTCAAGTTCGGATATAAAACTTAACCTGCTGAGGGGGCTGAATTATATGGTTCCAATCCTATAATGTCATGCCGGTAGCCTACCAATGCAGTGAAACCTCCTGTCCTCCCCTGTAGTGACGTCTTCGCGTCCAAATTCCGAGCCAGAGTTACTGGGAGGAGGAACACTGAGAGATGTGGAGAGAAACATGCTCACGCAAGATGCGAGAGATGCTTTAGAGACTCGAGAATACAGCCACTCACTGTCAAATACAGTGTAAGTTATGTTACAAATACATGTTTGTTTACATCAATTAAACAATATTTACAAATAATAACTGTAATTTCTACTCGATTTTATGAATTTTCGGAGTTTCAGCACCCAACCACATGCAGCATTTCATTTCACTGTGGATTTTAGTCCTTGTGTATCGCATATAAGACCTTTTTTCTCAACATAACTTTTAGCGGATCGGAATTGTTTACAGTGTATTGTTCACTTGTCCAATATATTGATTGTAAACATGACTTGGTCTGTGAAATTGTTCGTATGAAATTGTTCTTTTCGCCAACGAAACAGTTCGTAAAGACGACAAAACATTTAGTTTGTACCCAAAAACAGCTCGAAAAGATGAAAAAAACTTTTAATTTGTAACCAAGAAACTCAAAGACTAAAAGGTGTTCTGGAACACCACACGAGTGGAGCGGAGCCACAGGGATTCCCCGCCCCCGCTCCAAGTGTTCTGTAACCGCTCGGCTACTGATCCACTCCGGGTTTTCTATTTCACGCTGCCTGTAAAAGAAACCCCGATCGAGCGACCAGGGAGCGAGAAAAAATAGGAACGCCCTGCCTTTGAGAAAACCGTTCATAGTTGCTGGTAAAATCACACAACTCTGCTTGCTTCTACAAGAGAAAACACTATTAGCGCAACAGCAGATCCGCTCCCCACTCCATTTCCACTCAGCGCCACTCAAGACACGCCGTGAACCCAAACAAGCAGAGTGATATTCTCTCATTGGCGCTGGTCCCAGTGCTGTTACAAGCGCTCTTGCGCGCCTCTGGGCCAATCAAATTTGAGGACAGAAAGTACAGAATTGATAAAAGTTATTCAGTGGTATCTTCCCAGAACAGCAGTTGACAAAAAAAAAAGTGTATGGGTTATTTGGAGTGCAAAATAATACATTTTCAAATGTCCATTGTGCTTATTCTTTTAATCCACAAATTATTTAATCAAGCATTTGTTCACATGTCTGAACAGCCTATGCTTGTAAATTGAGGAAATATTTTTGCCATTCTGGATGCACACTTTGGAAATAATACTTAGTTATTGCAAAAAGGGGATAATTTATGACTTCTTTGGTGCATGTGTCTGGAAAGTCTGGAGAAAATGGTTTTGTGCAGATTTGTGTGTGTGTGTCAATCCAACATATCTCATATTTTACTAGTTGAAGGATCCCAGGAATTTAATTTAGAGGTTTGCAGGTTTCAAACAATGGGATTGAAATACGTCATGTAACGACATATTGTTGTCTCCCAAGAACCCAGAAAGAAGGACAAACTGTGGATGACTTGATTTCTTATGTCCATAAACTACCAAGTCCAAGTTGGAGACAAACATAACTCTACATGTCACAATGATAATTCAGTGCACAAGCAAATATATTGCGTGACGAGACTTAATCATTTGACAAAATTGTTTTTTTATTTTTATTTTTTTTATTTAGTCATTTAGCAGACGCTTTTATCCAA